CATTTAAATCATTTAAAATTAAGTAAATTTAAAAATTCAGTTCCTCAGACATACCGACCCCATTTCAAATCCTCAGCAGTCTGGTGGCTGACACAGGTATGGAACGTTTCCATCTTCACTGGAGGTTCTGATTGGCAGCAGTGCCTCTGTTAAGCTTCTTGGGTTCTCCTTTGCCCTATTTTTACCCCTTTGCCTGCAGTCTTTGACAAGGGCCCCGCTTAGCCACTCAGCACTTTGGAGCTTCTGTGTATGAGGTTCACCAGGAAAACAGGGCGATGGAAGCTCAGCCTGTAGCATCACCCATGGTATTGCTTTCATTTCTTCTGGTGCTGCTTTCACACCGCGACCACGTTCCTGACTTGCCAGCCCAAAGCTTTGCCTGCAATTGTGGTCAGCAGCCACCAGGGTGTAGCCAAGTCTTGGTTATAGCCCTGGAGTCTGAACAGCTAGTTCCACAGAGAGAAATTATAGTGTTTTCTCACTTGTTTTTTTTTTCATTCCCACTCAACTTTGCTTTAAAACTAAAACAAAGTTTATGAAACAGTTTGACATAAATAGTTAAAAAAAGTCCTCTCCCTCTTATCTTTCTCTTTTATCCATCACTACTTTATGTAAACCTCTTTCTTGAATAAAAACACTGCCTTCAAACCACCATGGAACTTAATTCTTGGAAACAGAAGCTCATTCCAGGAAGTTCATAAGCCTAGTGATTTGGGGCTTCTGACCAGATTGGAATTGTTTGCCATTGCTTTGTTTTCTTTGTAGCAAAAAAAAAAAAAAAAAAACCCAGAAAAAAACACTACCTGTTTGCAGTTAATCAGAGGGCAGGTATTGATTTTCTTTTAAAAAAGCCTCCCTGTATGAGCTTGTGCTTGGGAGGTATTTTCAGGGAAAAAGAGGAGACTGCTGTCCCTTCCAGGTCCCTGGTCTCACTTCTCTGCTTCACATCTTCGTGTCTGATGAATTCAGGTGACACCAAAGACTCTAAGAAGCCTCACACTTGTGTCTTCGCCCCTCGGGGACTATTGCCCAGCCACTGTACTAGCTTTCATCAAGTTAGCCTTCATCTGTTTTAGCTGAAGACTCTGGGACGTAACATTAATATTTAGAATTTACCCCAGCAACTGGTTTTAAACACCAAGAATATTTAAACTGTTATGGACAATCTGCTGAAAAAAGTTTGGAAGTATTCCCTACCCTCCAGTCTCCCAAACAAATCGGCTTACATCCAGCTTAGCGTTCCAAAGCATGTTGAAGTGGAACCAAGCAGCACTTGACACCAGTGCTGTTCTGCCACACTTGGCTTTGTCATTCAATCCGCGGCCCCTCTGGATTTCTTTTCCCTAAATGTTTCTACTTGGAATGTTTCCTCACCTCACTCTACTTGGTAGATGGGTGGGGGGATTAAGACAAGCAAAGCCCCGGCCTCACAAGGAGCTGAAGAGGGAGGGCCTGAACTCACCCAGAGCTGCTGGTCTGATGTTAGTTGCCCGCTCTCTATTCCATGTTTACCTGTGGAGATTATCTGTAGCATCAGGGGTCTAAGTGGAAATGGAGAAGCCTGCCTGCCTGACCTCAGAGAAGAGCCTGGTTGAGCCTCCGAGGTCTGAGAAAGCATTTCTAGGGTCACATGTGAGGGGGGAGAGCTTTTTCTTGGCTGTGATGATGCAGCAACTTCTCGGTCGCCTCTTTCTTTTTGACTGTTTTCTCCAGCTCACGCCTCCCCTCACTCCCTCAGTGCTGGGTGGGATTTCTCCACCTTGCTCTCCTTTCCCTCCCAAGGCCATCTCGTCCTTTCTCTCACCTTCCGCTGTCACTGGATGCACTTGCTTCCCAGTTTGGCTTCTCTGCCTGGGACTCAAGTCCAGTGTCTCAAGAAAGTCTCCCCTGTCTCCTTGGTACCTTTAGTAAGCATTTCCCTAACTCCAGATCTGCCCCTCCTGTTGTGTCCCATCTTACTGATGATTATGAAACACCATCCTTCAGGCCCCTAGGCTCTAACTCTCACGTGTTTAATGCTGTCCCTGACTCCCACTTTTCCAGTTCTGCCCATTTCACATCCTTTGCCTCCTTCCAGGCCCCTTCTCCTCACCCTCCCATCTAGCTTGCACTGTTACACTAGCTCCCCAAGTTTTCCCCTGCTCCTCTTCCTTCACATTTGAGGCCTGTGCAGTCAGACCCTGATCCCAGCCATCCTGTCTTGCAGCTCTGCTTGTACTGCACTCACAGCACCACCTTCTGTGCTGTTCTAGAAATAGCAACTCTGCACTACTTCTAGAATTTTCTCTGTCCTGCTCATGTTGGTTCTTCACCTGCCCCTGTTTCTGCCTATTTGACCCTTCAAGGTCAAATGCTGCCACCTATGCAGAACCTTCTCTGGTTCCAGGTGGAACTGGTCTCCCCGACTCTGTTGTAGTCATTTATATCCATGTCTTATCTGCATCCCCAGTAGATCCTCAGTTAAAGGAATGAAGGGCTGTTTTACATATTTTTTGCTGTCCCAGCCAATAGAGCAGTGCTTAGCATCAAGTGGCTTTGGAGATAAGCAGATAGGGGTTAAAGATCCCAACTCCCCACTTACCGATGCACATCTCTGAGCCTCAGCTTCTTCACCAGCAAGATGGGCATGGTAACGGTGCCTACCACACAACAGTGATGAGATGGACAGAGAGACTTCACGATGTAATATACAGACTTCACAAGATGTCGCGCTCATACTAAATGCTTAATAAAGCTTACCTGTTATTTACTTCTACTCATGTCGGTTTGATCTCTGAGGTCTTCTCTTCACTGTTGGACAGAATATAAAAAACAAGTCAGATGCTGCCACTGGGAAATATTTACAATTCAGACTATCGGGTGGATCTAGGGTCTCTTGTCCCAGCCTGTGCTGTGACTCCCTGGGCAGCCACTCTCCTGCCCTGGCCTTTGCGTCCCTCATGGCTCTGGGCCTGACTGTCCATACAGTTGCTTCTTCCCCCGCTTCAGCTTTGAGCTGAGTGGGTCCCTGCGGGCAGCTTACCACACGTGAGCACCTGCCCCCTTCCTCCTTAAAAGAGAAGGAATGTGAAACTATGGGTTGCTAGAGCAGGAAGGAACCTTAGATGCCGTCTTCTGAGATCCCTTGCTTCACTGGGGAGGACACTGAGGCCCAGATGTTGAGTAGCTTGCCTAAGGTCACACAGCTGTTAGTTGCTGAGCTGGGGTCAGAACTCGGCATTCCTTGCACCACTCCAAGTACCACCATGGCCCCCCTCTCCTCCACACACACTGGACTGATGGTTTCTCACCATTTTCGATTTGGATTACACCACCAGGCCCTGAAGTCCTGTGACTGAGTGCCCAAGAGACGCATCTGCCACTGAGAATTTTAGTCAGTTACAGCCCTGGATACTTTTAAGGACTGTCTGTCCTTCTGACCATTTTTTCTATCAAACACCTCTAGGAGTTAAGGTTCATTAATATGCAAAAGCCAGCTAGCACACGCTGGCTAGGCAGGCTCCCTCTTTACCTTGAGGCAAGGCTGGGGCAACCCTTAAATGCAGGAGGTGGTACATACCAGGCAGGTAAAGGAATTTGCAATACGCGTACATGTTACCATGAGATCGTTTCTTTAAAGATTGATCGCTTATGATAATATGGGCACATTTTAAATGTAAGTATAACCAAGGCTCTACTTTTCACTAACAACTGAACAAGTTTGTCTTGTGGGTGCTCCCCCACCCGCCTTAGGTTTTTTCTCCCCTCTCACTGTCTCTTTCCAACAGGCTTCTTGTGCCACTTTACCTTGCAAGGAAGAGAGATGTGCTAGCACATTAGCCTTTCCTCAGGGCCTTCACCTCTCCAAGGAGGAAGCGTGGAGCCAGGTGAAGCTTCCAGCTGAGACAGTTCACCTCAGTGGCGGACTTCTACATGCAAGGGGAGGACCAGCCGCTGGGGTAGAGAGTCCTTCCTCACCACCAAGCCCTGTCACCTGGGTGCCAGCCTGACTCAGATGCCTGGGCCCTGAGCTGGTTTACAGGGACTTGACTCATCTGTGCCCTGTTGTTATTCCACACAGCCCTGTCTCTCCTCCTCGCCCCTGTTGCTCACCTCCTCAGCAGCCTTCTTTTGGCACCTCAGGTCCAGCCTCTTCCAACCCAGAAGCACCAAACCAGCCTTCCCTCGATGGTTAATATTTGGTTTTGCATTCCGTCCCCCACTAAGGGCACTTCCCAGAAGGGAGGCTAGGAAATACAGTCTGTATTCCAGACATCCATGTGCCCAACCTGAGGAAGAAGGGGAGAGCAGATATTGTGCCAGTTCTCAGTGTGTGACACATGGTATGTCATTATTCTAAAATCCTGCTTTCTTTTCATTGCTCTCTACTCAGAAACCTTCTGTGGAGCTCTCATCAAAGTCCACAGGTAGACAGCCCAACTACCTATTTGCCAGGCTCATTTCCCTGTTATTCAGGCACCAGAGCCTCTTCTCAGGCTGGCTCTGCCCCGGTTTCCCAAATGCACCTCAGGTTTTCCACCTCCCACATTGGCCCAAACCCCGCCAGCCACAATATGCTCCCCTTTCTTTCTGATGATGCAGTCCTCACCTTGCTTGAATTTGAGCTCTTATATGAGGCCTCCCCCCGGATGTTTCAGCCAGCAGTAGTCTTTCCCTCCTCTAATCTTCTGTCACATACTTTGTCATCTTTGTCATTTGTCGCCTTGTGCGCATTTGTGTCTTGATGCCCCAGCTAGACTGTGAGCTCCTTGGGAGCAGAACTGTATCGTGTTTCATACTCATCTTTGTTCCTCTGCAGGGCTTCATGCAGAGTTTTGTAAACATCAGCATTTGCTGCAAATGAACGAGTGAATGAATGAATGAATGAGTGAGTGAATGAATGAATGAATGAAGACATGTGTGAGCGAGTATAGGAGGTGAGGGCAGCATGGCTCTCTTCAACCCTGTTTTGTAGGCTTGGTGCCCATGGCGTTTTTTTTTTTTCTTTTCCCCTTTATCAGGTGGCACGACTATTTCATTTTGTCTCCTCTTTGGATCTCAGAGAAGGGCAGGTAACCCCGTCGAGAGGTATGACTAACTACAAACTGATCCAGTGGGGTAGAGAGGCCAGCAGCCACCTCTGTCCACCAGCGCATGGTCTGGATCAGAACCAGGTGCCTGTCCGACTGACACCTGTGTGCGTGCGTGTGTATTAATCCCAGAACTGGATCCACTTCAGCATCCTTCCAGAGCCGCTTGTATAAATTTGGTAGCATCTAACATGTGATTAACTTATTTGGGTTTTTTTCTTTCTTTGTTTGATGCCTGAAAAATGAACTCAATTTGATGATTGATGCTATGGTAGGGAGAAACCCTATCTCTTTCTCTTTTGTTTGTTAATCTACTTTTATGTCACAAACAAGGCCCCAGGTTTCATCCAGCATGTTGTGAGGAGCCTGCCTGGCACTGATTTGGAGCATGTGGAGCTGTAGAGGTGACTGTCAGTGAGGTGGTTGCCCCACGGGGATTCCGAAGGAAGTACTAACTCTCTTTGACTACCACTGGGAAATGTGGCTATGCTGGTGGCTTTGTTGTCAGTTGCCTGACACACTAAAACCTTGTGTCTTTATTCTCATTGTCATCAGTCTTTGGAATTAGATATATTGGGTTGTTGGAAAAGTCATGACGCGTTTTTTTCTATGTTTTTCATTGCAAAAATATGTCATGACTTTTCCGACAACCCAGTATATGAGGTGAGATGGTGTCCAATCTGTGCTCTGTGGCAGCCTTCCCCTGTGACTGGGTGTGTCCCTCTGGAAAGAGGACCTCATCCAGGGCTTACAACCAAACTTAGCTGCTGTGTTGAATCAGGACTCGATGGGCCATCATGGCAGACATTCTATTAGTGGTAAATTGTTTTACTTGGAATGCCAGGTTATTAAAAGTTTGGGTCTTCCCAGAACACACGCCTTTCCCCTGACTAAGAAAACATCAAAACAAACAGAATTTGGTGTGTGTTGGCTGCATGGCTTTTTAATCCCTTACAAACTGGGGGAAGGACTAGAAATGAAAGCTCTTAGATTAATAGAAAGTTCAGTTATACGGTTTACCTCTTGAAGTCCACTTTTGTAAGCATTTTAGCTAGGAAAAAAGATTCAAATAAGCAAGAATACCATTGCCCTTGCCACTTCTGTGGAATTTCTGCAGTTCTGTGGAGCGAAGCTGAGAGAACCACTGGGCCATATTGTGTCATTGCCGGAAAGCAGTAAGTTGGTTCTGTTGAAGCAAACAACACGTAAACAAGAAATCACAGCCAAACTGGGTAAACAGTGCTTATAACACCGTTGGGAACAAGAGCGCAAGATCCCGACAGAATACAAGCAGGAGATTTGTTTTCATGGAAGGCTAAGGATGTTTCCCTTTTGCCAGGCTGTGAAAAGGTTCTTCCAGGGGCGAGGTGCCGAGGGCAGGGCTGACATGTGCTGACAGCCCCAGGGGCAGGTGCTCAGATGTACCTGAAGTAGGCTGACCTTAGTTCATGAAAGGGCCCCAGAATTCTTAGCTTTTCCTATGGCTCATATTCTAAACTCAGTGTTGACTGGGGAGGAAATTGATACATGACATTTAAAAAAAATAAAAACACATGCTAGAACTTACCCTTTATCAGAGTTACCTTAGGAGACCCAACATTTATTCTAGAGATTTTCAAAGCATTCTAGAAACTCTTATTTTGGAATTGTAATCAGAGCCAGGTAATGCACCGTAGAAGAGGGTCATACATTCTTGAACTCGGAATTTTCAAGTTGGAAAGGAATCTTGTTCAACCCTTTAATTTTCCAATGAAATTTCAAGGCTGAGAAAGACCAAGTTGACTTGGTCAAGGCCCCCAGAAGCAGAGTTGAGACTAGGCTCTCAGGGCTGGAGGGCAAATACACTGTAGTATTTTTTTCTTTTTTTTGGTCTAGATGGCATTTCTCAGCATCTTGCAAGCCCTGTATTTACAAAGTGGGGTCCTCAAGGTGGTCTTGGGAGAGTATTGTAGGTGTTGCTAAAAGTGAATTGTATTTTTTGGTAATTATTTCTTAATGGTTAATACATGTACATAGTACAAAATTCTAAAAGTACCAAAAAGGGCAGGCATACAGCGAAGAGGAGGTCTCACTCCTGCCCCTGCCCTCCAATGGAATGGTGGTGTTAAAAGAAACCCTGTAAACTTTCAGCAGGCGCTTTCACTAATGCCTTCCTTGGGCCATTAGCACAGTATAACTTGGACCCCCATCTCCTTAGCAGACAAAACTTCAAAGATCTCATCTGGGGTGGAGTGAAGTGGCAGCCCTGAGTGGTGGCATACTAAGAGATCTACTTCTCTTTCCACCTGGTTCCCATCTTTACCCACCCAAGTCCTCCAAGGCCACGTCAAGCATGGTCTTCTCTGGATGCCTCGCCTCTCAGATGTGCGCCCTCTGTCCTGTGCACCCTCAGACCTCTGGCACCTTTTTACATTCCTTGTGGACAAAGCCCAGCGCCCAGTTCAGCAGGATGCTCCTTCAGGCCTGGGACCCTGGCTGATGCATTGGGGTGGGGATGGGGGTTTCCTGCTGCCATACTTGACTCAAGGGCTTGCTCAGTAAATGGTCATCTGTTCATTCCTTCAACTCCTTGACCCCTAATGTGTGTCAGGTAGAGCGGTGGGTGCCAAGGCTGCAGTAGTAAATTTAAAAATCTGGAGGGGAAGGAAAACCGACTCACAATGCCAGTAGTTAAATAGAATTGTATGGAATCCAAAAAATAAGTAGAGACTATGCTGAGAGCATATGACAGGGAGCTGAGAATGTTAGAGAAGCTTCTCTGAGAAATGCAGCCATACTGCATTGAATTGAAAGCGGTGTGGTTTCTCAGACACATCACTATCTTAGGTACCACTCAGGAAGAAAATACTGCCAATTAAATTAGAGCACAGTGCTCTTTCACTCAGCATTAAAAAGACTCTTAGACCTGTTTACACATAGATTTTTGTGTGTGTCATTTTTGTATATACATTCAAAGGGACATACAGCACAACAAATGGGCTGGGGTCTTCCTAACCTCGCTTCTTCACTTTCAGAGTCTGACTCTTTTGAATGAATCACTTTTCAACTCAGCTCTTCTGTATTCATTTATGACCATGCTGTGTCACTCTCTGTGCCTTCCAGAGCGTTCGTGATGCAGAGCCGTTGTCACTGGGATGTCAGTGCTGCTGATATCCATTCTGCCAGTTTGGATGCTGCCACATTCTTGATCTTGCCAGAAGGTGTCAGTGGAAGACAACCTGTACTCATATTTCTTCTTCTGGTGGTTCTTAAATGGTTTATAAATTGAACACTCAGGGGTTTCAGCTGTCCAGTCATGCCATAGGGGAATACCAACCAAGTGCATTTGTGTGTAGGCAGCTACAGCGATGTCAAAGCAACAGCAATTGTAAGACCCACCCCAGTTTCAGAGATGAAAAATGTGTATCTTAGAATTGTTGAAAATTATTTACAAGAAGTCTAGGAGTAAGTGGGTGCCGTCATTATTCCAGTGACTTAGTGATGTCAAGGCTCTGCATGGATGTCTCTGTGAGTCTTTTAATCACAGGATGGTAGTTCTACCACACTCAAAGACAGAAAGCAGGGAGCAGGATTAGGCCTTTCTCCTCCTGCATATCAGGAAGAGAAAATGCCTTCCCCAGAAATCCCTTAGCAGGTTTCCCCTTACCTCCCATTGGCCAGAACTGTATCACATAACTATCATAGCTATACAAGAGGTGGGGAAATCTGTTTTTTCTTACTATTTCAAGAGTGGGGTAGGGAACGACTTTTGGATGGTTAATCACTTCTTGGCCTTTTGGCTAAGATCAAGTGTGGATGGTCAATTAACAGTATATCCCATGGTGGACCCCACATTAGGGATGAGTTAACCCCCAATACTGTAGGACTTCTCAAAACTTTTAACATGGTCGTGTGGCTCATTGAATTATGGAGAACATGGCATCAAACTTTTCCAAACTTCAGGAATCCAAGTTTATTTTTCTAAAATAGAGAACCCAGTTTTGCAAAATGCCAGTGAACAGCTCCTGGTTGTTTCCAGAATAACAAACTGAAGGTTCTCTAGAGCAGAGTTGAAGCAGGGTGGGATGGCGTTTGTGGAGAGTGGATGGAAATGGGCTTTTGAGTAGAGACAGAGCAGGGCTGTGAGGTTTACAAATGAGAGAGACAGATTGATTTGAACTATCTCAGATGCTTTTGACGAGTATGGCTCATTTGTTTTCAAGAGCCTTATATCCCCGCTGTTGTGACTCCCTCCGAGACAGGACTAGGTGGATACAGAGCTATTATTATCTCCTTCTCTTCTTTCCTTGCCTCTGCCACCTCCAGTCTTCATGATGCTGGTGATATTGGAGCTGGGCTGGTTGGCTTCTGGGAAGTGGAACTGAGGGCTGTGCTAAAACCGACGTGTATGATGCTTGCTGCCGCTGTCTTTCAGACACTTTGCTGAGCCTTTGCAAGAGCTGGCAGACACATGGATGGAGTTAGTTCCTGATCGTTTATTTGGGTTTGGGATCACAAAGGCCCTCCTGGTCCTTCTGGCCAGAAGTGATCTTTCTATTTTTTATGCAACAGCAACTTGTGTGTCTGAGGCAGCAGCAGCAAACATCATCATAGCTGACATTTTTCGAACACTTCCTATGCATTGGGCTTTGTAGTTGACATCTTTTGCGGGCATAATCTCCTCTAATCCTCATCACCATCCTGCCATGTGGCTGCCCTTCTGCAGATGCAAGGAGTGCGGGGGACAGAGGTTAGACTCACCCAGCTGTTAGTGATAAGACTGGACTTTTAATCCAGGTGTGACTGTTCTTAATCTTCACTTTCTGTAGCTTCTGGGATGGCACTTTTGTGTTATTTGTACAGTTGTCTTTTTACACCTTGTCAAAACTCAAGTTGTGTTTTTGGTATTTCCTCATAACACCTAGCACAGTGTCTTGCCCATAGAAAGTCCTTGATAAATAATTGTTGGCCAGATAAATTAATAAATGGGAGGGTGACTGCAAGGGCAAGTCAGTGAGTGGTTTTCCTGAAAGTGATCCTAACATTGAGTTACTCCATTATAATTATCAGCAGATTTTCTCCCTCTTTTCAGAGTCTGTTTTTGTTCTTTAGTCCTCTAGTTTCTTCTAAATTCTAGATATCTAAAATGTTTCTGAGTAGAATAAGCATGGGTCGTTGGCTGCTAGATTTGGAAGGGATTACACTGGGCAGCAGGTCCTACCCTCATGTTCTTGGCAAAGACCACCAACTATTCATGTCTAGAAGGCGAGGCCTCAGACGTGGGCCTTGTCCACCATCATTCCAGAGCAGTGTCTGAGGACTAGGGTGATTTCTGTCTCTTTCCGCACAATGTCCTCCCAAACCCTTTTGCCTGGATTTGTAATTCTAATTGTATATATTTGATGATTTAAATAGTTTTCTTTTTATTGTTAGTTTTCTGGATGCATTGTTTTTATATCTTTGGTAGGTGGAGAACTTATCTTTTCATATTTTAAAGTATCTGTTTTATTCTGACATTTCTTGTAACCTGTCTGCGAGCTTTTGTTTTCCCTGCCCCCTCTAAGGGACTCATTTTGCATTTGCTCCTTTGTCTAGCTGGCTTTTTCATTAAGGTCACTACAGGGAATTGCTGTGTTTTGGTGGCCCATTTTTATTATTATTATTTTATTAAGCAAATGAAAAAATCCCCAAACGCTTCTACCATCTCTGAAAGCCTCTTAACGAAGCTTGTTTGTTTCATCAATCCCCTACAACTCCAGCCCAGAGCACTCTCGTTAGATGTTCTCATTAATTTTGTGCCAATTTGTTGTTTCTGTTATATCTGTTGTGCCTTTGTGTCTCCAAGTCCTCCAGCCCTTTAGGACCATTCTTTTCTCATTATGCAAATAAAATGCCTCTTTCCCATCCCCCAGGGTCCCATGTACCTGTGGGAAGTCTAACGCCCTCCACTATTTCTGAACATGCCAAGAGCTCGTTGTTGTGCTTAGTGGTTATTTACCTGCCACTTTTTGCTCAAATCCCAACCTGATTCTCAACAACCCCAATCTCCCACCAGCCCCTGCTCCCCCTCAGGTTTCCTTCTCCCCCGAACACTGTCTCGTCTGCAGCCCCTGAAGCACACTAAAGCACGGCTGTCCGCTCTCCCTGAGCCTTTGTGATGGTCCTTTTCACTCTGACACACGTTCTCTCATCTAGACAGCGAGGATCTTCCCTTTCAGAACTGTAAGGGATTGATCTTGCTTCCCAAACAAAAGAACAATTTCCCCCTGAGATGCATTCTATGGCTCCCTCAGAATATGAACTGATTACACTCAGCAGGGTTTGTTTTTTTTAATATCATATTTTCCTTCCTGACTCATTCCCTTTGGGTATTTTATGAAGCTCAAATGCGACAGTGGGAGTAAATGTGCCCCATAAACAGTGACGTGAGCAGATAAAAGACATCGCTGTTGTCGTGCATTTAGAAATACTGTCTGTATTTCATTTCCTTTGAAAAGAGGAGAGATTAAGCACATAGATTGTTAGGTGTTGACTTTTGACCAGATTCTTGTGTACTGGAAACTGAGGAAAATATAGCTATATAAGGATTTTTATTTATGTGAAGTCAGAGAAACAGCAGACAAGCCCTGGAGAGCAGAAACTGCAGGCAGTGGTCATGCCCTTGGCCCTGGGTCTGTCTGGGGCTCTGGCTCATCTCCTAGAGGCATCTGAAGGGAGGAAGGAGTTGAGAGCCAGAGGAACAACTGCTGAGCCCCACAGGAGGCCCTGGAATATTCCAGACCTTGGCCCTCCGTGTTTCCAGCAGGTACACTGGGCACCTGCCCCTGCACAGGGTCCTTCCAGGTTTGATTTCCACCTCGTTGACTGTCAGAGCTCCCTGTTGGCTTTGTTGTGTCTGCCCCCCAGTACTGCCTGTGGTTTGTGGGTCAGGCCTCTGACATGTGCCCCTCCTGTGTTGTATCCAGGGACAGGGTGCCTTATCGGAGAGACTGCGGAGTTTCAGCATGCAGGACCTCAGCACCATTAGGGGAGACGGTGCCCCTGCTCCCTCGGGACCCCCACCACCGGGGTCTGGGCGGGCCAGCAGCAAACATGGCCAGCCTAAGATGTCCAGGAGTGCTTCTGAAAGCGCTGGCAGCTCAGGTAGGTGTCACTTCACTTCCGCTCTTTCCCACTTCATAGGCCTCACTTTCACTGAGAGAGGCCCAGTCCCCCAAGTGGCATGTAACCTGGCCCTTGCCCCATGGACTTGCCACCAATGCAGACCATGCCAGTCCAGCCAAGGAGCAGAGTAACACTCAGGCCAGGACAGGAAGCTGGGCTGGGACTTTGATGGGGGAAGAGTTAGATCACCTGCACCGAAGGGTCCCACTTCTCCATCTGATTGTCTGGGGGCTTGGGGATGGTTGGGTGGTAGAACCTACGCTACACCTAGAGGCAGCAGGCACAGCTGGACTGGGCCAAACCAGCTCTCTCTGTTCTCTTCCTCTCTGACCCCTCACTCCTAGGAGGGCTTACCTGTCCTGAGCACCTGAGCGGCCTGGCCCCTCCCACCTACCCAAGGCTTATGGCTCTTGTGGACCCTTTTCCCTGCATGGATTATTCCTTGTCCTGTCCCTCACTCTACCCGCTCCTTCCATCCCGGAACCCCCATTCACCGTGTACACCTCAGCCATCACATGCCAAGGGCCACACCGGCTCTGAGGTCTAATCCTTGTGGAGGCCAGGGCTTTATGGAAACCGCCCATCTACCTCTGATGCCTGCCTCCAGTTATCACATTCCTGGTATAAGGTTGCCTCTATTGGGATTGACCTGGGGGCCTTGTTAAACATGCCAAGTCCTGGGTTCATCCTGAGAGATTCATCAGGTCTGGGGTGAGACCCAAATGTATGATGCCGCTGAGGTGCAGCCACGTTTGGGACCCACTGCCATCTGATTCATCAGTGGGTTTTGGGCTTGTGGAGGGTACAGACATGGATTGGGGGTAAGGAGCTGGGCCAGGACTCCCAGTGTCCCAGACCACTCCTTGGGGATATACAGGGACCTTGGCTCTCAGGAGCTGAGCACTGCTACTGCCAGCAAAGGGTTGACCGTGACTGGGGTGCAGGGGACAGTTCTGGATCGCCACCTCTGCGCCTCATCCTTGGTGGGAAATTGAGCCTCAGGTGGGAATTGGGCAACATTTTTGTAATCTGTGTCTGGTGGCCGCCCTGCCATTACAAACAGGGACATCCAGGCCACCTGGACCCTGACTGTGTGCTGTGAGGTGCAGCCTGTAGGAGGCACCTTGGCCCCAAGCCCCAGAGACCCCACCTGATTTGGGAGGTCTTAGATGTGGGTGGGAAGGAAGGAGCCCTGCGGCTGCCCTGAGAATGATGACTCACGCTCCCCTCTAGGGAAGGCGGAACAACGCAGAGCTAGGCCTGGTGTCCATCAGTTTCCTTCCCTCTTGGGATTAACCCCCTTCCCCCAGGCCCCAGGTTTGAAGAGTGTGGTTTTTCTGTTGGAAAGGAGATGTTTTAACACTGGTAAGGCTGGAAAGGTGAGGACTTGGCTATGACGGGGAGGTCCACCTCAGGGAGAGGTTATCTCCTGGGGAACCCACCCCAGGAAAACTTAGAATGGAATCTCAAAAGGCCAGGCAGGAAGGGAACCTCAGGGATCACTCAATCTAACCCTCTGATTTTACCAATGAAGTGACAGAGTCCCAGGAAAGGGAATGGTTACCAGGGTCACCCACTGGTGGCATTCTCCTGTGGCCTTCTGATTCCTGGACCAGTGCCCTCTGTTTACTCATCCATTGACTACCAGGTTTCCTTGAGTGCCCACAGCTCCTGACTTCCTGGGCACTGTCCCAGAAATCAGGATGTGAACTGGAATTAGGTATCACCTCACCCTTGCTGAGCTCATTGGCTACCTGCCCTCAAATGCAAGCTCTTCATTTGGAAGAAAAAAGGGCCCCAATTCTGTGAGGCTGACAAGGCAGAGCAAGAACCAATAGGGTAAAGTTCCAAGGGGGAACCACTTACTGGCAAGGTGTTTACTCCCTCTGTACCTCAGATCCCTTATCTGTGCATAAGGAATGCTAGTCCCTATTTGTGGGGTTGTTGTGAGGATTCAGATGAAGTAATCCATGTAAAAGTGCTTAGGATCATGCCTGGAAGTCTGTGCCGTAGCTGCTAAAATTGTTCTTGTTATAGATGAAAGTGTCCAGGAGAGAACTGGGCCACCTTTTGAGGTGGTGAGTTCCCCACTATTGGAAGGGTCCAAAGCAGAGTTGAATGGTTATGTACCGAGGCTCTAAGAAGTGGGCCTCGGTAGCCCCACAGTGCTTTTCCCTCTGAGATTGTATGTTGTTGTTATAGAGGTGAACCAAGTAGAGGAAGTAGGCTCAGAGAGGTCGTAGACTGTGCCGAGGCCACACAGGACAGGAATCTAGGCCTCCTGTTTAGAACTCTCCTTGGTGGGCTATTCAGGGAAGCCTCAGAACTAAGAAAGTGAGCGATCTGGTGGGATCTAAAGGCAATAGGAGGTATCCCTGGGCTTTGAACATCTTCCCAGACCAGTACCAGGTGGAAAGAGTTTGGGATGATTTGTGTTGGTGTTGGCCCTGCCACCCTCCATGAGCAGTGACGTCCTCTGCTGTGACCCAGGGAGGCAGTGGGCATTGCTCTGGTCGCCGGCCAACCTGGTGGAGTTTGTGGAGAACCAGAGAGCCCGCTGTGCTGCAGCATGACCCAGCTCTCATCACTGCCCGCCCTTGGCGTCAGCACCTGTGGTTTCAGGGAGCAGAGAAGGGAGGTGCTGACCCCGCAGGGAGGACAGGGGCCCTGTGGCCCTTGTCCCAGCTGTCCTGGGGCCTAAAAGAAAAGCTATCTCAGAAAGAAAGACAGGTGAAAGGTGGTCCAGGGCCTGGGCATGGGGCAAAAACACCCAGATTAGAGGCTCTGGGGCAGTTTTAACCCCTGAGCTGAGGAGTGTGGTGCCTGGGAGGAAGTCTGGCAAAGGGCCCCACCACACAGGGCTGGCATGCCTTCCCAGTCCCCAGGGCGGGCCTCGGACACCAGGTGTGGTCGGGTAGGGGAAAGGGCCCCACGTCTGAGCTTCCTTCTTGGCTGGGTGACACTGGACCTGTGCAGGGACAGCAGATGCAACACAACGAGACAGATATCACTAAGCAATCAGCACGCTTGTTCCCACTGGGCCTCGATTCAGCTTCAGAACCTTTATCAGAATGATAGCCCGGGCTGTCACTACCAGAGGATTTGACCTTGGCAGAGGAGATGAGACCAATTCCCTTAAGCTTTCTTCTCTGTGAAAAGGACACAATAACCCCTATTCAGCCTATGTCTTAGGGTTGTGAGGAGAGCAAACAAGATAATTTCCAAACCCTGGACAGGGGGCAGGAGTTTAGGGCAACCTGGGAGAGGACAGGTAAGAGATGGTGGCTGCACCCCATGCAGCTGTATGCAGCAACTGGAAGCAATAATTCCAGTGTACATACAAATAGATCTTGAAAACATGGTGCCTAGTGGAAAAAGTACAACACAGAATGAGGTGTTTTGTAACAGGTTATGTAAAATAATAATATATTCCCTTTGTGCAAAATTACAAGATGGAGTTCACAAAAACACATTGCCCTCCCTCCAGAATGAACTGGGAGGTATTTTGTCAGACACCTCGATTGAAAGCCTGGCATTGGACCCCAGAAAGGATACAAAGGGAGTTGAAGTCACGATTCTTGCCTTCCGTGAACTTGGAGACACTTAGCATGTATTTAGTGAGCACCTGCTGTATACCAAGGTCTGGATGTGCACCAAGACCAATGGAGTGTGCAAAGCAGCAGCCAATTAGGCTTTGGACCAAATGGCCAGACACTAAGCACTTTGGGGGGTCAGAGGTCAGTCTGTGGTTTCCTAGAGGTCATTCTGATTAGTGGGGGTGGTTGGAGTTATTTCCCAGAGGAACCTTTGACCCCAACCCCTGCCTTCCCTGGGGCTGCACAATAAAAGGACTGACCTCTGTGGGTCAGGCAAGGGCATTTTCTAGCACCCAAGAAGACGCTGAATCTGGAATGATCCCCACCCCGACCTTGGTGTCTCTACAGAGAGCCTCATTTCTGGGACCCCTATATTGAACACACTGAGATCCCCACACTTCACTGAGGCCTCCCTGTTTGCCTGGGGCTGGTTTCTCTCAAGTGGGGGATTTCACTGATGGTGCCCCCCATCCCCACAGTGTGTACATGCTGCTCCATCTGCAGGACCCGAAAAGGTAAGTAAGCAGCCAGCCTCTCCGCAGCGTGCTGGACTCACCTCGGGAGGAGGTTCTAACCATGAGCTGGCACATGACCTTGGGGCTCCCTTTTAGCTGCATGGTCTGGGGGAGGGCTCAGGAAGTTACCTCCTTAAAATAGCAAACCTGTATTATCTTACAGTGTCTACAGGCTAGGAATTTGGTAGTTCAGGGTCGTTCAGGCTCAGGGTCCCTCAAGAGTTGTAGTAAAGATGTCTCCCAGGGCTGCAGTCATCTGAAGGCTTGACTAAGCCTGGAGGAGCCATTTCCAAGATGGCTCTCTGATGGCTCTTGGCTAGAGGCCTCATTTGCTTCCCATCTGGGCCCCCCTAGGGCTGCTTGAGCACCCGTACCACGTGGCAGCGAGCTTTACCCAGAGGGACTGGTTTGAGAGAGACAGCAAGCATGGGGGACATCATGGTACCTGTTAGGACCTAGTTTTGAAGTCACATACCACCACTTCTTGCCTTATTCTATTTGTTGGAAATGAGTCATTAGGTCCAGCCCACACTCAAGGGGAGGGGAATTAATCTTCACCTCTTGAAGGAAGGAGTATCAAAGAATGTGTGGGGTTATTATAAAACCACCACAAGGTCATATTTCCTTGTGCCCTGAGTGATGAGGACACAAGAACTCACCCACCGCCTCTAACATGATGACACCCTACAGTTCCAGAGGTTTTGGTCCTGCTGCTACCAAGGGAGCCCCGGTCCTGCTTTGCCACTTACTAGCTATGTAACTGCGTGTGAATCACCTAACCACGCTGAGCCTCGGTTTCCTCATCTTAAAATGGAGATAAAGATCTCCGCTTCCCACCTCACTGTGCTGTTGTGAAAATGGCTATGAAAGGACATTTGGAAGGATGACGATGATGATGATTGTAGCCCAGAGCAGCTAGGAAACCTCAGAGAGAGGGGACAAGCCTGAGGTCTCCTCGTCCTGCACAGGGACTGCTGCTGCTGCCCTTCCCGTGTGCGAGTGACGGCTCGTGGAGCCATGGCCACCCCGTGCTGGGCCATGTCGCTCTGTCCTGACCTGCTATTTCCCTAACCTTAACTAGACACAGAAGCGAGTGGCAATGGTCCTGGACCAAACCAGCTCCTCTTTCACCCCCACAGAGGGCTCCCCTCATGGGGGAACTGCCTTTGGCTTAGCAGGTGAGAGGGGGCCACTCCTGACTTGCAGCTGCCGGCTGGTGTGAGGGGAAGGCACGCACCATGACTGTTGCTGCCTGTGCCACCAGCCCCAGTGCCACGGAGGCATGGCATGTCCCTCTCACATCGGTGGAGAGCCGGAAGACAAGAAGCTACGTTATAAGAAGAGTCCTTTTGTCCTATTTTCTCCTTTTGAAGGCTTCTCGATGCCAAGGATTTTTAAGGTTTGGGGGTTTTGGAGGCCATAAGCCCAATGTGAGCTGACAGTCAAAGGCATTCCTGAGTTGGGGAACAGTGGAGACCGTCCTCATACCCTGGCTAGGAATGACCCTTGGGGGTGTCCTGATCCACATCAGAACTGGAAGGGCATATATGTATGATTATTAAGTTGTACACCTAAAATGAATATAACGTTACCTGTCACTTATATGAAAGGAAAAAGGAATCAGGGAGGGAGATGGAGAAAAGGAAGGGAGGAGAGGCTGCACGCGGTTGCTTCCAGCACTGGGGGCTACTCTTGGGCCTGGTGGATGGACTAGTTCCTGGGAAACAACCATGTAGTCCCAGTGGCCTCAGGCAGCTGTGGTGATTTCTGTCAATCAATCCACCCTTTAAAATTTTGGGTTTGTAAATTCCGTGAGCCATTCAGAGAGCTTCTAGCTCTGAGATACTGTTATTTGGGGAACCAGGGAGAATAAAGCCACCTTCTCCTCCATTCTTTCCTTATGGGACTGCTCTGTGCTGCTCCCTGGGAAGCCCTCACTTCCCATGACACCTGGTGGCTTCATAATCAGAGGTTGCATTTCCAGTGCATGTAAATACTGGGTTGTCGGAAAAGTCATGACGCATGTTTGCAACAGATGGCACTATTGTATTTTTGGAAGTACTGGAGTCATTCGCATCTATGTTATTGCTATGGCACTTGACAGCTGACAGTTCTAGCTTCATTCTAAAAAAAAATTGAGCAATTTGGTTGGGTTTTGGAGATTTTACAACATGTTGAAGATGGAAGACCAAGTTGTGCATTTTTGCCATATTTTACTGTTTTACTTACATAAAGGGAAGAATGCACGTCAATTTTGTGAAGAATTGCATAAAGTTTACAGTGACAATGCTCTACAAGAATGTCAGTGCCAGCGATGGTTCACGAAATTCCATGCTGGTGATTTTGATCTCAACGACGCTCCTGGTTCAGGGAGGCCTACCGAGGTTGTTGACGACAAAATAAACATATTGATCGAGTGAAATCCACGTTACATGACATGAGAGATTGCAGGAACATTGAACATCCATCACTTAAGCATTCATGACCACCTGAAGAAGCTGGGATATGTAAGCAAGCTCGATATTTGGGTTCCACATGAACTCAAAGTTCATTTGATGGCACATCTGCAATATGCTCATTAAACATGAGGAAAACGATCCTTTTTGGAAGTGACTGATAACTGGTGATGAGAAGTGGATTGTTTACAGCAAAGTGGTGCACAAATGGTCTTCGTCCCGACGTGATGATTTGCCTCAAACGACATCGAAAGCAGACATTCATCAGAGGAAGGTTATGCTCTCAGTGTGGTGGGATTTTAAAGGTGTCGTGTTTTTCGAGCTCCTACCAAGGAACCAAACAATCAATTCAAATGTGTACTATCGGCAATTGGACAGTTTGAAAGAATCCGTCATCCAGAAACATCCAGAGCTCGTTAATTGTAAAGGAGTTGTGTTCCATCGCAACAACGTGAGACCACACACAAGTTTGATCACCCGCCAAAAATTATTGGAGCTTGGATGGGATGTGTTGCCACACCCACCATACTCGCCTGACCTTGCGCCGTCAGACTTCCACTTGTTTTGCTCTCTTCAAAACTCTTTGCATGGTATAACGTTCAATTCAGATGAGGCTGTAAACCAGCACCTTGTTCAGTTTTTCGCAAATAAAGACAGGTCCTTCTATGAATGAGGAATTCTGAAGCTCACTGAAAGATGGCCAAATGTTATCAAACAAAACGGGCAGTATATCATTGATTGATCTTTGTTGTTTATATAAATAAATGACCTTTGAAAAACATAGACAAAATACGTCATGACTTTTCTGACAACCCAATAGAACTGAAGTTGATTGTGAGAATTTAGTAGAGATTGCTCTCCCTGGGAGCTGTGGGGACAGGGCAGGTTATTAGGGAAAGGGCAGCAGGTAGGTCTCAGAGGAGGCCTGAGGCTGGGGTGGGCCAGCTTGGGCTTGTGATCTGGGAGCCTTTGCCCCAGTGCTCCCTTTTCCAAACCTGTTAACACGCAGTGCCTTTGAGTCCTGCCCCCTCCCTAAGGTCTTCTTGCAAGGAACCGGCTGATGATTCATCTACACCACTTCCCTCCGTGATTGTGGGAAGTCCCTCTACTCTCAGGCCTCAGTCCCTTCCTCTGTCAAGTGGTGGGGTTGGGCCCTTGCAGCTCTGACCATCTCTTCAGTGAACAGAGCTGGGTGTGAAATGTCAGCAGATGGTGCTGGGGGAGGTTTGTCTGGCACCTGGGGCTGGAGACCAACTCTTGGGCAGTGATACCATGAGAGAAGATTTTGGGGTTCACAGATGCTTTGGTCAGATGGCCCTCCTGGTCCCTTGCATTGATTTTTATCTGCATCTCAGATTACAGGATGATGTTCTCCCCCGATTTGTGCTCCATTCCTGCCCCTCTGTCGGTAGATTCCCTATTATTTCCTGCATGCTCTTTCTCTGCATTTCTATTCTCTCTGTCTTCCCTGTCCCTATCTCCCTTCCTCCTCTCTTTTCTCTGTACCTACCTTGTTATAATATAGAACCGAACTCTAGTACTGCTGGGAATGAGTTATAGAGATGGGTTGTTGTTTTAAATTTTAAATCAAGTCTGTGGAACATTGCTGTAAAAAGTGAAGTCATCCCTGTTTATCCGTTCTATTGGGGGTTCAGTGGGAGGATTGCGTTTTATGTGAGTGTGGCCTGGGCAGTAGTTTCCTGTGACTGACATCAGCAGGAGCTGTACAAGGTTTAGAGCTTGGGAAGTAAGTGTGTGTCTGCGAATTTGTGTGCATGTGTGTGCATGCTCACACAGGCATGTCAGTTTCATCTCCAATAGATCCTGCCCTAACGGAATATTCTTTTCTTTCTCCTCGGTGGCTGTTGGACGCGGATGTAAGTGTTCCAGATGGGTGTGCTCTTCTCCAGACATGTTTGCTGATTTCTACTAGTGCTGCCACTCATGTGTGCTGTGTGGGATGTGTTTGCTAATCCGGGGCTTGTTCTGCCGCCTGCTGGGGTGGGGGTGCCTAGGGCTCAGTGCCGATGGATTTGCTGGGTTTTTAAGGGCTAGGAGTCTCTGCCGGTTTCTACCTCCCTGCCCTCCCCACAGAGAGAAGTGGAGCTGCTTCCCAGCCTGCTGAAGTCCTGCTGACACGTTTGCTAGTACAGAATGTCAGCCAAGGCCATGTGGCCATGCCCCTCTGTGGAAAATAAGATGATCCCCCTGCCGTTTCCCAGAGGCCCCCAGCCTTGGGCATTATGGTGAGCTCTGCAGGCTCAAGGCCCTGGCTGCTATCAGCTGAGGTTTAGAGGTGGTCCTTGTGACCATGACCTTCCACAAGTGACGCTCCTCCCATATACGTTGTTTCTGGAAGCCATCAAGAGTACTAAGATGTGGGTGGCAATACACTTCTCCTCCACTCATCCGTATCTTTGTCCTGGTGCTCCTTAGTGTGACCATGTTCTGCAGGGTTTATTTTTTTATTGATAGTATCGCCTGTTCCAAGAAGGATTTAAGTCTTCTTGCAGAAATGTAGATGCTAGGTCAGACCAAAGTAAGAAAAATGAAGCTTGGTGAAAAGAGAATAGGCAGGCAAGATGGAGGCAGAAGTGAGAAGAAAATTTTAAATGCATGCCATAAAATTGTGGGCTGTCAAAGAGGCTGGGCGACCTGGCAGCCAGTGCAAAGAGGGAAACACAGTTAAGAGATTCAGTGTCATAACACAGTAGCCAACCAGAGGCTCAGCTTTTCTAGAATGTTTATGCTCATGGATCCTGAGAGTGAGGCAGAATATTACAGACAACACTCTTGACAGAAACCTTGAGTGAACACAGTTTTTTTTTATATCGATAGGTTCTCTCTATGGCCCAGCTGAGGCCATGTCTGGCCTGCTGAGCTGTCACATTAGTCTCCTTTGCTTCCTGCCTCTGCTGAGCTAAATGCTTGTTTTCTATTCCTGCCTGATACCTGGGTTCCCCTTGACCCATCACTCCTAGTGAGCCAGTGCGTCCCTCTTTTTCTGCCCTTTAGTCTATGTTCAACTGTGCAGTGGAGAGCAAACTCAAAGCCATTTTGGTTTCAGCCTTGAGATAGTGGCGGTGGTTATTATTATTATTAATTCTTATTATGTTGGTAATGTGTGAGTTCATTGCTCAGTCTCAGTGAATCCAGACTGGGTGAGCAGGCTGAAGGTGTTGATGCCTGAGGATCTTGGTGGTGACTGGACTGCCTTCTGAACCTCAGAGTGATAGTACAGGGAAAGCCCTGGGCCTGGATTTAGAGGCAACTGCATGTGCAGACGCACAGACCCCAGTGAGTCCCCAAGCCTGCTCCCAGGATGCAGGGTTTCTGGCTGGGGTGGAGCTGGCCAGGCTGCTTCTGCAGTTTCTGCCCCGGGGCTGAGGGCTTTTGTCTATTTTCCCTCCCTCAGGCACGAGGTATCTGAACCCAGAAGGAATTTTTTTGTGGATGGGTATGGAGGTCTGATTTGGGAGAAGAGCTGACCGCCCTGAGATGTTGTCAAGTGTTCCACCTAATTTAGTGACTGAGTGGCCACTGTGTGCTCAGCCCTGGGTCAGGTGCTCAGAGGGACCGAGGGAGGATCTGCCATGGTCCCTAAAGCTCAGGACATGTTCTGCTGGTCTGTGGCAATGAGACTGACATGAGAACCAGGGCACGCAGCAGAAGCCCCACGGTACAGATTCCAAGCGCTGTCAGGGTGAGGGAATGGGGAGGCCAGGGGTGCCAGTGTATTGAGGGAAGGCTCCCTGGGGTGGCCAGTCTTCATTTTCAACAGTCGGAACGGTGCAGCTGATTTGGGCAGGGGAAGGGACCAGAGGAAAACCTAAACCAGAGTAAACAGGCAGGGGGACACACAGAGTTTAAAAACAAATCAAAGGCTAACAATCTCAGGCTTGGCCCTTTAAGGTGCTGTCTGAGCAGGTCACTCCCAGACTACAATTCAGCATTGAAATTCATGGTTAAGACAACTGTGGTCTTGTGCTGCCTCTTGCTGGCTGTTGGGGAGTACAGCAGTAACTGGGAAAGCTGGTCAAGATTAGGGTTTGGTTGTTAGTCTTACTTAGCCCACACCTGGTGCTTTTATAGTCTAGGAAGTTCCCTTTTGATGGAGAGAGCATATTTGGTGGTGGGACATGTTTTTAGGAGCAGTAGTAGGGTGTCCCAGAAAGAGATCTGGTTTCTGTCTGCAGGCCTCAGGGTGTTTGGGCCAGAGGACCCCCCGACTTAGCATCCTGTGATTCTAGATAAAAATCAATATATACAGTATAGAAAGATGTGTCTCTGGGTGTCAGGCTGGGTATGGGCAGGAAATATTTCATGTCTCAACTAAGATGGGACTCTCTGGCCAGATGATGTATTCAGCATTGAACATTTTTAAAAATATCATGTGTTCAATGCCATGAATTAATTCTGGAGCTTTTCCTGTGGCTTAATCAGGGAAGACTAAAACAGGAATTGTGCTGTCATTTTTTGAGGGGAAGGCTGCGACTAGATTCTCCTTTCACTCGGCTCTGTTGCTGCTCGAGGACTTGGCCTTTTGAAATGAAAGATCTATACAGCTTTGCTTAAGGTTCTTTGTGAGGCATCCTGGCCTTTTCCATCCTGTCTCTTAAACAACCCTTAGAGCTGAATATGCAAGTGTAATGCACTGTCAACATTGCTTGTATGTATAATAGAGAACACTGCTATTCCAAATGGCTGTCACTTTGCTTTCTAGTGGGGACACCCCACCCTGCCGCCCCCAGCATTCCTCTGGTGTGGTGTCACAGGTCTAAGCTGCAGGGTTTGACATGTGTCAGTTAAACAACATCTTCCATCTCTCAGAGAAGCGGTGCCTTCCTCCCCACTTCCCTGTGGCCAGTCTCACCGTTGTACCCTAACAATCCCAGATCTCCCTGCAGTATCCCCAGAGCATACCGGCTGCTTTTTCAGACAGAAGGGCCTCGGTTGTCCTAACAGGCCTGGATTTCCGTGCTGTGTGCCTAACCTTGCTCTTGCCTGCCGCCCTTGCTCCTTTCTCCACTGATCCCTCCTCGCTGTACTTTGTCTCCTCTGTGTAGATTGTAAATGGACATTAAGTGGTTGAGGGAGATGTAAATGAGGGTGGTGTGAAGGCCTGGGAGCCCCACCAGGTCCAGAACCCACTGGCGTTCTCTGATGATGAGGAGGAAGACCTGCTGGATTTCATGTACAAGTATAAGGCACCTCGAAAAACGGAGTTCCCCCTGGAGGTACATGGTGTCTGGGGCTGTGGGCTGGAGCATGTGTTTGCACAGGGACTGTGCCCTGGAGTTCTGGGGGTCCTGGGAGCTGCATCTTTTGGGGGCATCCAGCATCTCCCGTGTCTGGGGTATAAGATCACCATCAGTCAGGCAGGACAAGCTACTTGGCAGCATCCAGCTACTTGCCAAGGGGCAAAAAAAGGCCCTACTAATTTTATTTGGAAATAGAAGATGGGATATAGTGTCTATTTTTTTTTTAATTAACTACTAACCTAAGATAGGTGAGTGAAAAGCAACCCAAATGAGTGTTTAGGGGGGAAGAAAAACTCAGAATGTGTTTTTAACAAGGTTTTATAAATAAGCTTGTTCATCACTGTATCTCCAAGACACAGCATAGGTGCTGATACAAAACAGATATTCATAGTATGTTATTAAAGGGGCACAGCCCTTTACAATGGCCCCAAACAATACACTCAATCTATGTACTGTTGCCAGTTATAGATGTGGATGGAGTTTTGCAGTAGGAGAGCCAGGCCTAGAGCCTCCTGGGCCTGGCTCTGTCGTGGTTGGGGGGGTCACCAGCCTTGAGCTCAGGTGCAGGGCCGGCAGAATTGGGCGACCCCAGAGTCTTCCTCTCTGCCCCCTCACGTCGCCTCTCCTGTTCCCCATCTGCTGAATACTACAGCCTGAGAATCCATTTGAGGCAAGTTGGGAGTCCTCCTGTCCACAGAGTGGAGATGCCATGAGACCCAGATGAGGAAATGTAGTGAGAGATTCTCCTTCACACACACAATGACCTGTTTCTGTTCACACTAAGACGTAGTTACTAGCATTGCAGTGTCAAGTCCATCAGCTTCCTTTCCAAGATGGGGCGCTCATGGGCTAATTTTGAAGTTTGAGGTGTTGGTAAAAGATGTTTTGGGTTTGGGCCCTGCTCAAGGAGCGCATTATGGTCTGGGCAGCCCTGAGACGGGGACAGGGCGAGTGAGGAAGGTACCAAAATCATTCTAGGGCCTAAGGGTTTGTGCCATATGGGTTTTGTATTTTAAAGCTCCACAAGTTGCTTTACTGTTAAACAAACAGCCTGAGGCAGGTTACTAAAACATAGGTTCACTAATTCTTCTACTACTGTCTGTCCAGAGGTGGCTGGTCAACATTTGCTAGCCGTAAAAGTATAGTGTGAAGACTCAGGATGTGGAATGCCGGGGCCTTCTGTCCCCCAGCCTCCACGCCTGCCCCATGTGCCTGCTGGACACTGAGCAGCACTGGGAAATGGTGGTGAACATGGACCTGCCCTCAGGAAGTTCAAATGGGTGGGGGAAACAGTGAGCAAACACACCTGCTATGGGTGCAGAGTCCTTGTGTCCTCTAATGTGCAAGCCACAGTGAGAACAAAGGTGACAATCCTGGTTGTGTGTTACTGGGCCATGGGGGGAGGGGCTCAAGAGTGATTTGGGGCTAAGTCATACAGAGGACTAGAAATAGCAAGACAGAAAAGGGAGGAAGGGCTTCCAGTCAGAAGGAATAGAGGTGTGAAAGGACGGCGTGTGTAGATAAAGAAGGTGACTATAGAGAAGTGGACAGAGACAGGGGTTGAGGGCAGGTTGGAGTCTTTGTGTGAACCCCCTTGAGCGCTATACTCGGAGAAAACCCTTTCTATTTAAAGGCAGCGTTTCACTTTGTTGTATGGTTTGCTGTGCATTAAAGGGTTTCACACCCAGAAAGAGGGCTGGAAATGTGGTGATGGAAATTTTAAGCATGTACCAAGAAACATGAGGCCGGTGCCTGAAGGGAATGACAAAGACAAGGGAAGCGCTGGGGAGGCATCTCTGCTGAGTCACTTGTTAAGATCATTTTGCTCCCAAGGCAGACACAAGGATGATGTGTCATCCTTCTGCGCAACCGTTCGCTTGTGAGACCCAGGGACTTAGGAGAGCATGAAGAGGTGGGCACCGGCCTTCTCAATTGGCTCAGCTTCCCGGAGATGCTTGGGAAGGGACTCGGATTCTGTTGTGGAAACAGAGTGAGCCCCAGCCCCAGCCAGCTACCTCCCCCATGTGTTCATTTGGCCAAAGGAACCCAATGTCTCAGCACAGACCCATCCAGGTGCTGTCCTCAAAAGATTCCATGTTTATGCCACATTGAGGCATGCCTTTTTTTTCTTCTCTCCCAGGCACCGCCTAGAATCCTTCGATCTCGCTTCAGGAAGAAAAGTACCTCATCCTCGGCCACTGAAACCACATGAGTGAGATGAGCCAACAACAGCACCGGATACACAGAATGTTTCTTCTCTGCCTTAAAGAGCTACTCACTAATTACATAGAAACCTGCAGGCTGGTGTGCTTTGAGTGTGCAGCCTCACAGACATGGTCTTTCCTTTCTCTCCTCTCTTCCACTTTTAACAGAATTGTTTTTTCCGTTTATTTTGCTGGGGAGAGGCTAAAGGCAAGGTAGCGTGTGGGGGGTGTGATCTTTGTCTTCTGAAGTTCGTCATTTTCCACAATTGGATTGTCGTTACAGACAGCAGTGTGTGTTTAGAAATATAAAAGAATCACCCCCTGCTGAGATGGACATTTGTAATTTATTTGTTGCATACTTCATTTTTAGTCCTGTAAATGCAAACAAAGCAATTTTGTAAAACTTTTGTTCTTGGTACTAATACTTTGGACTACGATGTACATATTTATGGCTTTTGGCTTAATGTAGTGGGCTTGCAAGGGCTGCCCGAGATTCTGATCATGTAAGAGAACTGCAGAAACAGAAGTGTCAAGATTTGTTCTGATTCTCAAGAATGTCTTAGATGTACTTATAAAGCTTCCAAACACAGCTCCAGTCAAACATCCCTCTTCCTACAGGCCAGTGGCCCATATTTTTCAGACAGATATTTAATCAGTATATCAGAGAAGTGTAGAATGCAAAGAGACAATATTTTAGTGACAAAGATGAGTGTAATGAGGTTAGGGGTACAGCCTAGAATCAGGGAAGAGTCCCAGGAAGCTTGTCTTCCCCTTGGATTCAGGATGACGAGCTTCTGAGTCCTCTCAGGGGTTACCATTTGCCTGGGCAGGTGGCTCACCCTTGGTAAAACTGTTTGGGACTGTGGACTCACAGAGCTGTCATGAGGGGTCACTCTCAGTGTCTCAAAAGTTCTTGACACATGACTGTTTTTCCTTCATAGTAACCTGTGCTGTGACTGATTTCCCCAGGCAGGGGAGCCTATGGTCTGAGCACCTTCTTTTAGAGAACACTAAGCAAAAACCAACCAATCAACCCAATTAAAACAAAACCTAGAACTATGCTTTGTTTCAGATACACTATGAAATACATCTGAGACACCTGTGTAACAATCAGAATGCTGGGTTCTAGAAACGTTTGAGGTTGAGATCTTAATGGCTATGACTTACTGCTCAGCTCCATGGGCCGCTGTGGCATGCATCCTTCTGTTCCCTCCAGGGCTTGTCCAGAATGTGAACGAGAGGGAAGTCACACGCTCATGGGCGCTTTAGGTCTTAATAGGCATCTTATACAAGCCCAGATTGCTTAGTAGGAAAATAAAGCACTACTTGAGGGGACTCCCTGCTTAGACTGAGAGTTCTGTCAGAAAAGACGAATCTGGTTTAAACAGCATTTTGGTCCGAGGTATCTGCTGTCGCCTTGGAGATCTGAGCCAACATGTAGGACTCTAGATTTGTGCTTAGACTTGGTGTTTTCTTTCAGTGTAATGCATGCAGTGGTTACAACCCAGTTATTTATAATATTTGGATTGTGTTTGTTCATAGATATGCCCTGAAGACTAGAGAATTAGTGCTATGTACCACATAGACCTTCCTGTCCACCAGCTATAAACAGGCCCAGGTAAAGATGATTTCATTACTGAGCGACATGCTTGTACATCAGTGGTCTTTGCTGATGACAACACTGGCTGGATCTTAGCCGCCTCAAGAGGGGTTCTACTTGAAGTTGATTGTTACCAGATGTAGACATTTTAAATCCCTTCTTTCCATAATTACCCTGAAGGTGACTTTGTAATTTACAAAAGGATTTAGGAAAATAAACCTAAAAGCAAATTTGTGATGCAGAGGACAGATAGAGGCTGTCTGTTCTTTGCTTATGCCCCACACCCACCAATTCTGAAACCTGTTTAGGGAAGACAGAAAATCTGTTTTCTTCAAGTGCACTGAATATTTTTAGGTAAAGGGAAAATATATGCTTTAAAATGTATATACCTGTTAGTTGGGAGTAACCAGGATTATCAAAATCAAGTGCATAAAAAGCTTAACTTAGACAGCTTTTTAGCAACTTTTTTTTTCTCGCCAAAATAATGAATGCCTGTAGCAGCAGAGATTAAAATTCTATTGTGAACAAGCTAGATTTTCACCATTTTACAATGGAAAGTTTCAACAAGTACGACTACCAAGTTTGCACTCAACTATGCCAAAAACAAGTTTGGAGCACTCTACTCTCAGACATGCTGTATTACTTCTCATTCAAGATTTAAAAAATACAAAGGTATCCAAACTGCTGTCTTAATGTAAATGTAACTTTTTCCTTCAAGTGTTGATTAGGGAGTTGGTTTCTCTCTTAAAAACACTCACTGTACAGCTGAGAGCAGCTGTCATATTTCTGGCAGAACGTGTTTACTTATCCAACAAGCTGTTGTATTTGTGTATGGACTGACATAAAATGTGAATGCCTCCAAGTGTACACGTAGTGGTGTGGTATTCTGTCTAGAGGATATAACTGAATGTTTTTCTTTTGCTGATATACAGACACAGGCTGTTTACAAAATGCTAGCTCGAAAGTCTGTAAGTTTCACGTAATAACTTTTAGTTATTTGCCATTGAGCACCTGATCTGTTTCTGAGGTGAGATGTGTTATAAACTGAAAAGTTTAGTCACAATCCCTCCTGGCTTTGTGTGAATCGCTTGCCCATTTCGCTGGCCTCTGAAATGTGTGTTCCGTGTAGTAAACTGTCCGTGTGTTTGTGGTAACAGTGCTTGTCCACCACGACCACCACTGAGCGAGCGCCTCCCTACTCCTTCACCCTGCACAGTTATTAAAACGGCAAAGGATGTGCTTCGTTCTCAGACAGCTGACATGCTGGACGCTGACTGTGCATATTTCCCCTAGTTTGTCTGTAGACCCTATGAAACGATCTGTAATAAAATAAATTTTGTGCATCGAAGGGGTGTAAAATCACAGTATTCCAAAGGTTGAAGTTCTGCTGTTGTGTTATAATGCCTGGTATATATCTTGAATAAAGTCTTAACATTTTTCTTTTAAAAAACATCTTTGTAATGTTAGGCTTATGAGGAAAGAGAAAATACTTTTTAAAATATGTAGAAAGGATTAGAAGCTGAATGCTTAGCCACCAACAGGCTTGGTGCCTGGTGACCTGCCCCATGCCTACTGCACAGAATCACTGCAAGGAACAACATTAAATAGCGGTGTTTTGAAAACCAATTGATCACATAAATACAAACCTGGTAGTATGTTTGTTTTACATTTTTAGAGGTCGCCAGTAGAAACTGGATAGCTATGAAAATAGAATACTAGTTCATCTGGAAGGCAGTTTTAATTCTGCAGATCTTTGATCTGTCATTTTTCTTCCTGGAACCTGTCTCATCTCATCAAATGGGGGACAATGTGTACAGGTCAGGGGGTCGTGGTGCAGGTGGAAATGCCTTGAGTGGTGTGGGCGCCCTTAGCACCACTGCAGCCCTTTCCTTTAAAATACCAACAGGCACACGTAAGCTCTATTGGGTGGTCACAAAGATGTGGAAACTCAAAATTTGAAACATCAAAATGAAAATCATTTTCTTTGCCTTTATAGTCTTATACTCTGTTAGACATGAGGACTGCAAAATAAAGCATCAGTAAGTAAAGCAGATTCAGAAGACTGAAAGGAAGACAAAGAGATGGAAAGAAAGGCTGAAAATCCATTTATTCACTTGTTGAACCAAGTCCAATGTCAACAGAACTGAGACTAACCAGGTTAAGAGGTGACAGTTTTAAAATTTAAAAGCTGATTTGGTACAGTGTCATGAAGATGTATTTAGTATTTATAATGCTAGATTACAGTCACTTGTTTATTTAGATATGAATTTTCATTATGTTGTTAGAAGACTCAGGGAAATAAATGGGATTCCAAGGAGTTAGACCTAGGTTCTGAGTGACTTATTAGCTATATTTTGGGTTATTTATTTATCCTTCTGTAAGCTTCAGTTTCCTGAAATCTAAACTAGGGATAAATAATGTCCTTGCAAGGCTGGTATGAGGATTAGCCGTTTTGTAGATACATGCTGATCCCTATGCTGGGACACAGGTTTTCAACAAATTATACTGTTACATATACTTGAATGTCATTTAGGTAGACCCTTTAATGAAAGATGGTTTGTTGTCAAACTATAAAATCAGTTTGATGATGAGCCCTGCTACCCACAAAACAAAAATTATATATGTGATGAAAATTCCCTTTCCCCTAAATTGTGTACCCCTCAGCCCTTCCATTTCAGTCCACCTCTGGATGCTGAGGCCTGCTTGCCAGTCCTTGTCTCTACCTCTCCTGTCCCTTGTCGAGAGGAGAAACCAAGGATGCTCTGAGGCCCCAGTGACAGAGACCCTTGTCCATATTTATGCTAGGGAAGTCACAGAGGCGGGGAGAAAGTGGCTTCCTCCTCAAATTCTTCAGGCACCAGCTCCATCCCACTGCCAGAGGTAGTAGTGAGGGCAAGAGCCAGGCAGGTGGGAAATGACACAGAAGCCTTGTCAATGGTTGGTTTTTGCCATCTCGGAAGTACAAGGAAATGAAAACCCATCAAAACAGAATGCCATTCCATGCTTCCGGCTCTTACCTCACCTCAAATGCCTGTTCTTTAGTAATTGGTCTCATAAATAGACACACTTGGCCTTCTAGTTTTAGAACTCTATTGTTGCCCCTTTTCCTTTTAATGAACACACACTGGTTCCAAGGAATTCCTTTAATAATCCCAGTCTGACATGTCACAGAATTGCAATTGGGTTATCTTCTACCTTATCTATTAATAATAGAAGACCTTCATCTTATCATCAACTATTATATTAACGGATTCGAAACAGTTATCAAGGCGTATTTCTATTTAATAATGGTTTTCAACCAGGCAAAGTGTTCTGTTTGAAAATGCTTCCAGATGATTCTGATGGGAGAACTGAGAACCACTGCCCTCAACTGTATCCACTGTCAGCTGAATTTTCCTCAATGCCTCTTACCTGACCCTCTTTAAATGAACAACACTAAACTCTTGCATCTTTTCTAAAGTGATTGAGATGACTTTCCCCCCTTAGTTTCTACAGTGCATCTTTGGAAAATTTTGGAAAGTTTATCCTTATGATAAAAAATATGAAATACCAAGTACATAAACTAACTTTTAAAAAAATACAGTACTGGGATGGCCGGTTAGCTCAGGTGGTTAGAGCGCAGGGCGCAGTGCTCATTAACACCAAGGTTGCCGGCTTGATTCCCACATGGGCCACTGAGCTGCCCCCTTAATAACTAGATTGAAACAACTACTTGACTTGGAGCTGATGGGTCCTGGAGAAACACATTGTTCCCCAGTAATCCCCAATAAAAATATTTTAAAAAAGAAAAAATACAGTACTTTCAACTTCTGGGTAAAAAGTTTTTCTTCGTTTGTATAGCCTCTTCTGTTTCAAGAATGGGCATACTGATAACTTATTTCATTTACACTTCTCTCTATAAAAAAACATGTCCTAATAAACTAAGTGAGGATGTTTATGAACACAAGGACCTATTAGACCAGATGTGTTGCCACCCCAGGCTCACCTCTAAGTGAAACTGCCCATATAACTATTTTTTGCTCCACACGAAACTGCCAACACAACCAAGTGGGCCGGGGTGGGCTCCTGACCTAAGAACAGCCAATCCCTAAACTGTTTGGTGACTTGAGATGAGACCTAGTGTTAAAAGGTAAGCTGGAGTCTCTTGGCAATTAGAGATAAGAGCTGAGAGTCATGATATAGAAAAGAACTTCAAAGGGGCAAGATAGAGTTATTATGAGAAAGCAGAAACTAAGAGTAAGCAAAAGCTGTGAGTCAGACATGTTGGTAAATAGAGAATGGAGCCAGCAATTTAACAAGAACTGAGTCACATGCATGGCAAACCCCAAGCCTAAAGTGCCACCATTTCCTGTGCTGAGGCTTCTGGAGATGCCTTGGACCCAGGATCACCACACAATGTGTGCACTTCCTGAGGCCTGGGGTTAGTTCTGGGTGGGAGAAGGAGGTGGTGTGGTAGTTCCTGGGTTCCCAGGCAAGTATCCTTCAAAAAGAAGTCACATTGCTTGAGCTAACTTGTTAGCTTTAGAGCCTTTTTATGTCTGTCCTAACTTGAGATTCCTGTAACTAAATAAGCCTAATTGGAAAAACTAGTTAAGCCATGACCATTTGTTAAAAGTAATGAATAATTTTAAACTATTTCCCTGAACAAATCTGGGAATGTTTAGTCCATTAAATTTTTAAAACTCTGAGAAGTTTAATGTTAGTACTGTAGTTTCCATATCAGTTGGTACAACTTACATCAAGTTATAAAACTTTATTCAGTTTTGCAAAGACATCATTATACAGATTCATGTTCAATAACTGGGAAAGCATAAGACTTTTAATCTATACTTTGAGGTTTGTTCGATCGTGGTACTTCTGATAAGGATCATCAGCATACCAGTTTCGCCTCTTCCAGAAAGACGTTGTCATTTTATCTAAGAGTTTACTCTGGGTTTTATTGCAGAACACAAATTCTCTCAAGCGTCTTTTTCTTGCAGTTGTCTTTTTCCATAATTTCTTCTTATAACCAGCCTGTTAGATAAATATTACAAGGACACTTAGAACTTAGATTATATAGGAAACAACAGATAGCTTTACTAGTCATGGTTTACAGGCCCAGTGGGAACCAAGACCAAACTTTCACAGGGGCTGGTGTGGTTCTCAGAAAGATGTGAGTCTCGATTGGCACTGGATAGAGAAACCATGTGTAGTTTGAAAAAGAAATATCAATATTTTGGAAAAACAGATTTAAATTAAAACCACAGAAAATAAAGCTAAATAAACCTTTGTTGCTGGTGAAGTACAGGGTAGTGATATAGAATTTTAATAGCTAACTTTATATGCATTCTTATCTCTTTAATAATCTTTATTTATTTCTCTTATTTCACAGATTTAAGAGAAATAACCATTGATTAGAAAAGTTACACAGCAGACTGAGGTCACAGAGCTAGTAAAGAGTTCTTCGCCACGACACTACTTTTTTTCCTAACGTGGAGGATGATGAAGGGGATACCCGCTAGGTTGATAACATTTATGTTCATTTAAGGGGGCTAAGTATTATAAGGGCTGAGAAGTACAGTTCTCAAGTCTGTTACTTCATTTATTCTTCCCACATGCTAGGGATCAATTCCTATAGCAAGTAGTTTTCTGAAAAATAATGAATATAGTAAAACTATTAGAAAACGGTTAAGGAATGGTTAACCCCTATGTTTAACCCAGAACTGCCATATATACCATCCATTCATTATTAATTTTGAACTTCTTTTGAAGAAACAGAAAATCAAGATTGAATATAAAAGCTATAATCATTGCCTGTTTAAACTAGAAAAGACCTTAGGTGCCACCCAGGTTAATGCCTGACTAAAACCACACAGAAGTTACAGGGAGGTGAGACTGGAGCCCATGCTATTGGTAAGAGCCCTGGATCCTTTCAAGCCAAGAGCTCTTTCGGGCCCCACACTAACTTAACAAAACCATAGCTCTGTGATGCGGATGTGCCTTGGGTTTCTGACATGCTATAATGTCATCATTGTGACCAGCAAGTTCTACAGGGATGCTCAAAAATAAGGGCAGATTATTTAAGAGTTCTGGTTTTAAAATGCCAGAGATGAGATTTTTTTGTACTCATTGGTTGCAATTTTAAATTGAAAGATTCAAATCAAAATCCCCATATTTGTATAATTTCCTAGTTTGCAAGCCAAACTGGGTCCCTGTGGAGGGATCTCTAACTTACAGAAAGCTAGTTTGCTGTCCTGCCCATCGCCATCCATTCCCTTTGAAGATTATTCTGTGGAATGCAACAATGTGGAAATACTTAAAACATTTTAGACAATCTCTAGGTTCAGAAATGGGAGGATCCACGGAATAAACAGTAAAAATGAGGGACAACTGGATGAAACTGTCCCACAAGAAATACTTTTCAGTTTTTATACATTAGTGTCAACCCACCCAGAATTTTTGTTTTCCTCTTAAAACTGACGTTGATAAAGCAGGCCATTCTGCATATGGATACTTCTGGGGGCCCTGAGTGGGGACTAGGTATTATGATTGAAGAATGTGATCACGTCCTTTACAACAACATGAGCGTTTCATGGCCCAATAAAGGGACGTGGAAAGGAAGGCAAAGAAAACCACCCATTTCATTTTACCTAGGTTTAGATGAGGACCTGGAAATAATTAGTATGATAACAAAGGAGTGGAAATGTTTCCAATGGTTCAAAATTCCCAAAATCCAGAACTATTAACTACTTAGTTCAGCTACTTATAGATTATATGAGCTTTTATTGACTCGGTAGGAAACCCCACAGTATTGTTTCAATGGAGAAATGAGCTGAGAGTTCCAGTCAGCCTATTTATGTACAAATTTAGGGTTGTTTCTGAGATAAGGATAATCCTTTCAACCTATCAAATAGTGAGAAAGTCCTACCAATTAATTATTTTCTTTTTATAAAGAAACAAATTTTGATCTTTAAAGAATCATTTGTTAACTTCCAAGTAGTAAAAGGAAATAAGGATTTGAATAGTTATCAAAACTCAAAGATGGTTTTGCAAAACTCTGGTCTACTGCTGCTTTCTAATTATCAGCTACTCTGTTTCCATGAATAAGGATGTGAATGAAAAAGCCCACAGTCACGCTTATGACACGCCTGGGGAGAGGACAGAGCAGTAATAATTTGTCAGAGTCCTCCTTAGAGGCTGTGCTCCCTTGCCAAAGTAAGTATATAAAGTGAAAAAAAGTGTATATGGGGTTAATGTTCCACCATAAAGATTAAGCCACCTGGAGAATCCAATCCAAGGTGGGCTGAAAAGCTCTTCAGTCCCCAAATCTGAGCCCTGTGACTAAGTTCTTGCTGCAGTCTCCACTGTTGTAATACTCTAGGCTTAAACAGAGCCCCCCACAGGTTATTACACATTAGGGGTTTCACAGGGCTTCTGGTAATCATTAAATAAGCCAGACACATAAGAGACCTGAGATGAACCTGTCCTACATTGAAGACTTTCTCCATTGAGAATAATACTTGGTTTTATGAATGCTTAGACGTGTTTTCTTCACACGGATTCACTTACATGAAGAGATGCCTGCAAGCCAGTACTTAAGCACAGCACAGCACTGTAAAAGCTACTGGTAAGATGGGAGGAAGATATGTCAATGAACAGGCTGAGTTCTGTTTGCTTTTTATTGCTTACACTCCTTTTTCAATTGAGTAACAAGTGTGAAGACTCACCTTCCTCCTTAGCCAAAGGCCAGAGTGAAGTCGAAGAAACCTATAGATGACAGCTTTTACAGTCTTTCTCTTGCCTTTTCGTGAACTGAAGTATGTTACAGTTCTGACTGGCAGCTTCAGGACATTAGGAAGTAAAGGGGCCACTCTAAAATACATTTAAAAAATTTCAACTCAGCAACAAGGGTGACTAAAGGACAAAAATCTTTTTCTATACTTAGAGGTGGGTAAAGCAGCTCCACTGGAATACAGCTGACTTTTAATATACATTGTTACTTCAAATGATCCATGACACTACGCATAAATAATAACAACAACTATCACCAACTTGCAAGCCCATCCTAATCTACCCCCTCAACTCCACAAGAGAATCTATTCTATTTTAATCATCTGATTTTTAATCCATGTGCCCACTAGATTATAACCTCCTACAGATTTCAACTTATCATTTTATCCTTTCTGTCAGGCACAGTGCTGGGCACCCAGGTGTGCTTAACTAAATATTTGCTGACTAAATGAACAGCACGTGTAGGCCAGCCTTTTAAACTGAGCATTTTGTTCATCCTCCACTTTGGCTGACAGCTTCCATCCAGGAAATATCAGAAGCGTGCTGTCTGGTAGTGCCTGCTGCTGGCAGTAGGCATACGCCTGTCAATCGTATTTTCCCATTCCATCAAGCAAAGTTTATATAATAAATTGCAGGTACACACAGAGTATCATCTATTTCTAAGATGTCTTTGCAGGCATGAATATTTTAGAATTTTTGTCCAAACATCATGTTTATTGAAATATACTCTACCTATTGAGGATTGTTGCGGTGTGACCACACGTCAGGTTTCTGACAGATGTGATAAGTCTGGAGGGAGAGGAAACAACTGAAGTCTGGATATGATGAAAGTGTTGGGTGGACAGCGCAGAACTAAGACAGGCATTCTTGGCACAGTTTCGATAAGCTGAAGACACCAAAACATTCAGGGGCCGTAAGATTCCTGTACAGACAGAGAAGCACATATGCTTAATATGATACTCCAAAATGTGCATCGGATATTTAAAATGAAGAATTGTATTAAAGCAACCAGTGTTATACGTTATTAACGTGTCCTGAGCATCAGACTCACCTGTGGAGCTTTATACCAACCTTACTGAGGTATAACTTACATACCACAAAATTACCCATTTGTGTATAATTCAATGCTTTTTAGTAAATTTAAGAGTTGTGCAACCATCACTAGTTCCTAGTTCTATGTTCAACAGTACAAAACAAAATACATGTAACATTAATTCCCACCCGCCAGATCTGCTCTGATGAGACAGAACTCCCACCACAGACAGTGCAATGGCAGGGCAGAGACAAGGAAGCTTACCACCTTCCCTGGAGAGATCAGAGTGGCAGAAGGATAAAGAAAACAAGAGGTACTTGAGCTCTCCTCTAGAAGATGAACAGGCCATGAGAGGAGGAGGTACGCAGCCCAGGTAGGATGAAAAACATATGCAGAAACGAGGCTGACACAAGTACATGTGTGGAATGGGGACTGGGCCTGCCACAGACGCTGAGCACTGCCTGCCTGACTGTATCGGAGACCCCTGGGGAGAAGCAGTGGGACACGAGGCAGGCAGACCGGGAAGGGTCGAGATGTGTGGACTGAATGCGGTTCTCTTTATCTGTCCTTCACATGAATGCCAGACTAACAGTCCACGTCTGCAAAGCCGGATCACTCAGAGCTCTGCCTCTACTCGTGGAGTCTGAGTCTAGGGTGGGACACAAGAATGTGCACGTTGTTAAAGCTCCACAGGATGATGGACATGTCCTAAAACTGGAATGTGGTCATGGTCACACAACTCCCTAAATTCACCAAAAATCATCCAATTGTACACATAAAACAGGTAATTTTATGGTATGTAACTTATACCTCAATAGTTGGTTTTTAAAAAAGCTCCACAGGTAAGTCAGCAGCTCAGCCAGGGCTTAGAACCACTGTCTTATTGTCCACTGCACCAATTTCACATAACAAATGAGGGGCGGTGTGGTGTAGAAGTGAAGTGCTAGAGCTTGAGTCACGCTGGGTTCATATTCTAGCTCTACTACTTACTGTGTGACCATGAACAAGTTACTTGACCTCTTGCCCTGGTTTCCTCAAATTTAAATGAAATTTAAAATGGCGATGTAATGAGAATTAAAAGAGATAAAATATGTAGTGTTAGGAAGAGTGCTTGGCACAGAGAAATCATTTAATGAATGCTAATAGCAGGTAATAAAGAAGAGCTGAGGAATGCTTAGCAAAGATGGTATATTAATAGGTGGCAAAAGGAAGATAGAACACTTAAAACCCTTATTTTGCTTTCGTGTTCTCAAACATAACAAGTTTCAAAATGAAAAAGACACAGCATAGACATTAATGAGTTAGCTGAAATCAAGAGTCAAGAAACTGGTCAGAGAACTTTACACCTACCTGGCGTTTGTGAGCCAAATTCTCTATTTAGTGCATGCATTCAAGCTCCAGGTACAAATAAATTACATCTCAAAGAACTGAAAATGGTAGCAGATATGATTACAAGCCAGGAGGTAATCTTTGAAAGATTAAGTGAATTGAAGAAGGAGGTTATAGACAAGAAAATGTCCCAGTTTTCACAGGTCATCAATGCTTGATATATCTCAGTTGAAAAATAACACCTCTCTCAGAATTTTGTGGAAACCAAGTATGAAGGAAGTGAGCAGATAAGAGTCTGGAACATAATGTGTATAAATGGGTGAACTACAGGCTCATGTGTAGAAAAAAATGTCAGCATGGGTAAATACGAAGTACACAAAACAAAATATATTGTCAACTAGGAGTGAATTTTTTCTTAAAAGGAACTTCATTTCATTTTTTGATAGTCACTAGCCTGGGAAATCATGGGAATGTCTAGACACAGTGTATCCTGACTTCAGGAAGGCATGTGAAAAGGTTTCTTTATATCCTAAACAAATTCAGAAATGTGGGCAGAATAATAGTAGTTAGGTAAATTATAAGATAACGGGAAACTATCCCCAAATTAGTCGACTGCTATTCTCCTGGTGAGTCTCTTCCTGGATCCCTGATTCCATCCTCCCGCCCCCCCTCAATTTTATGAAGGTCCAGAAGCTTCTAAGGCATGTTTATTAAATCTGTACAAAAAACAAGCTGGGAACCATGGCATACAAACATATTTTTGAAAAGATAGACCATCTGGATTCAAAGTGATCTCAGTACTAGAGAAAAATGGATCAAAATTAACAAGATGAAATCTGGGATAAACACATTGAGGTTGGGGGGGGGGAAGGTTACTGTAACAACAGGGTGAACCTGGCTTGAGAGCAGTTCCTGGGAAAAGGACTTGGGGGCCTTTATTTGGCATACCCTCTGGTGGACCAACCATGCAATGTAGCTTGTAAAAACCAAACAGATCAAACTATATAGATTGTGTGTAACAAAAGGGCAGCACACAAATCAAGGATAGTAATTAACTACTCCACCAGTCTTCTGCCCTGTTCAGGCATTTGAATATATACCAGCTTTCTCTAAGCACACAGATGTTTTTACAAAGGAAATTACACAAAACTAGAGTTCTAAAGGAATAAATAAGAGGAGGGAATTAGGAACAGGAGAAGCACAGGTGAAGACGCGAAAATTATGTAGTATGTTTGGAGTATTAGAAATAGCCCTGTGTGTCAGGAATCAAAGGAATGGGGGAAGGGGCAGGGAGGTGAGTCTGACTGTCTAAAGTAATGGTCTTCAAGCTTTTTTAATTCTATACCTTCTAAAAGAATTCTGCAAAATGACGCA